AATCGCTTTTTATTGCCAATGTCTGAACAGCATGTAACGAAACCTAATCTTAATGTAATCGTAACGAAACTAAAAAAATGAGAGCCTGTAGATTAATTGTGAAGGACTCAGGGTGGTTTTGCTGGGAAAATCCAAGGGAAACTATCATTACAGTGTAATTTTAATGAACCTCATCTGTCGACATCGGTGAATCACATTGGCCATCGCTCGCTCGCATTACTATGGAGTGTGTGCAAGAGTATAAGAAATAAGTTGCTGACCACAGCTCACTTAACTGCCACCGGTGTCGCTAATAACAAGAGTTTCTGCAATACAGTTTCGCAGGACTGCTTAATTTTTTACATGGTGATAAAGAAATGATAAAAGAGTGATAAAGAAACATGAAAAAATAAGGTGCAGACATGTTTGATTGTATTCAATTAAACACAAATATTAGAAGAAATATGGATCAATACACTGGATATATTGTCAAGTGTTAGGGTTAAGAATATGCTATTATAAGTTGTTCAAAGAAGGGAAAGAACTTCTCTCTCTCTTATGTGTAGGCTATCTAACTCCAGTATTACTAAACGTAATGGCACTATCTCTTGCATTTCAAATAATTGTTTGTAAATATTGTTTGCATTTTTAAATGACAAATTACTTGTATTTTAATTAAATACATTTCTCACACCAGTATTTTGTATTTTAAATTAAATACATTTGATGAGCAAATTTGTAATTTGTAACTTACTTTTTGATGCACCTGAACCCATCTCTGGTCACAGACACAGTCATAACCTAAACAAAAAGAGAGGAGGGAAACGTTCTGGGGTGCAGAACAGAAAAAGGCAAAAGACAAACAAACAAAAAAATGCATTAAAATGAGGACAGCTCGACCATACTGTTAGCCACAATATTTAACTCATGGGAATTAAAATTTATACTGAACTGGAAATTATATTGTGGACACCATACCGCACACAAACTGTCACAGCACACAAATTAAATAATAATTTAATTAATAGGCTATAGGCTTATTTTAAGGGCTAATGCAGGTATAGCTATATTTAGCAATACTCTAAATCCTGACATTAAAATTTAATGAACCCTCATCATAAAAAAGTCGTGATCACGACGACGACATCCATCTCAAGTTACCGCAACAAAATTTGATCGTGGCCAAAGTAGGCCTATAGCATCATGTTCCCACGAGTTAGGACTTGGGTGTGGCATGAACCGAACCCATCCCTTCTGGAGCTTTTGTGAGAAGCCGAAGAAATTCATTCATCAAAAAATCAATCTCAAATAACTTTACAAACAACAAAAACGATCCGAATTTTAATGGTGAGAAAAATGTACTGAATTGTCTGTGGAAAAACACAAATAAATAGTTCACTCACTATGAGGTCCTTAATGAAGGATCGACTTCATCCTGCGTTTTAAAATGCAGTAGATCTATTATTTGAATAGCGTCCCGATGTCCCGAGAATTCCAAAAAACTACACCAATTTTGCCGGTCATCCTCTGAAACAGGAAGTAGCCTGGGGTCTGACACGCCTGCGGACCGCTGCGGAGTGGACTGTCAACTGAAAGACAGGCTACTCCTACTTATGCCAGCAAGATGATGATGCAGTATGACTTTGTTATATATCTGTCATCATGCTAAAAACCCTAATTCAGTAATTACAACAGGCAAAGTTTGTTTCATGATCATGCAGGAATAACAACGTTTTTAAAATAAATAAATATAATAATAATACATTTTTAAAAAACTGCTTTATATTTACAAGAAAGAGGCTGTTAATGTGAATGTGTACACAGATGATGCCAGTTCAAACTTGCATTATAAGAAAAATATTCACAGTGGTTATAACTGCTCTTGTTTACCTTACAATATGAATCAATCTGTTTGTGAATCTTATTCTATTACTCAACACCTAAACACACACACACAAAAACAAGTCTAAAAATTTGCCTAAAAAAGAAAAAGTCCTTATTAATAAATTAAATATATCCTATTGCATAGAAAACGTTCAAACTTTCAGTACACAATCTCACACAACGGAGCCTCTAGTATGTCACAAAACATACCCATAGGCCAGCCTCAGCATATTACACACTAACCAAAATCATATTTAGGATTAAAGTTGCACAGGTTTTTACCAAACAAAATCATGTTTGCAAGATACTCTGCTGCAACAAAGAGCACTTCTGAGGAAAGACTCGTAATTGGTTTTGCCAAAGTGTGCCAGGTCTGAGAAATTAAATCTTTTTGGCTCTTAAAATATAACTTTATAAATACTTTATATTGCATCTATTAACTTTTTAATTATATTTGTTGTATTTAATTACTGCTTTTAAAAATGTAAAATACAACATAAACAATGTGATCTGTGTGCATTTTCCCATAACTTTTTTTTTTTTTACTGTATAAATTCGTGCAAACTTGTGAAATTCATGCATAAATTAGGAAAACATAAGCATCTGGATCTCTCTATATTGAAGCTGCTGTTTATGTTGCGAACTGAATGAAAGTTCTTTTCTGGGGTTTTCTCAGCATTACTTAGGTCATCTACTAGATAAAGCTTATTCTCCTTCAGCAGTCTGCAGAATTCTGCTTTAACAGAAGCTCCTCCAGAAGTCAATAGCATCCAACAAGAGTCTCATTTTCTTTTGTTGTGGTTTTGCAGCATAAACTTTACTGTACATTTCATCTGTAAACATGTCTTTGGTCCTCAGATCATCAGCAATCACCATCACTGATTAAACTCTCTAAATGAGTAATTCTCTCTGTTTTTTCACAAATTCACATTCTGAATGAAACAAAAAAATATTAAAATTAATTCTCAGACAGGGTTGTTTGTGATAGAAAAAAAAGGCTAAAAGAAATGTAATTACGTTTATACCTGTGAGCCTTCTGTGAGCAGGAGGTTCTACATCTTGGCCTGATATTATTAAAAAATAAAGACTTTTGTAAACTGAAAATCTGTCATAAATACCTTAACAAGTAACAACTAATATTTGTTAATATTTAATATTTTAATAAGAGTTCATATTTAATGGTACCATTATGTAAATATTATTGACATAGATAAAGACTTTACAGATCACAAAACTGAATTTAGTGCAATGGGATAGATAACATAGATAATCATTTTTATAAAACAGGAAAAATAGATAAGAAGTTTAAGAAGTTTACATGTAATGATCAACAATCATGCATTATATAAAATTATTATAATATAGATAAACTGATTCAATTTGATTAAAAAAAATGGCACCAAAATGGACAAAAGTAATAAAAACGTCCCAGGACAATTAAATTAAATCTATTAGGGGTGTCGCAATGAAATTGAAATGTGTAAATTAATGTAAAGTGTCAATATGCATTACATAGATAGCTGCACATTGCATCAGGTTTCTTTTACACCTTTTTTTCCTGCACTGAGCAATATAACCCACTTTCACACACATTTCTGTTAAGCTTATGAACGTAATGGCCAATCAGGAGGCACTTAGGTTAGTCACTGATTAAAATGTTGGGAGTTGTGTTGAGTGTGTGTATGCTCACTTACTGAATTCTGCATGCTTGCTAATTCTCTCATCATAAACAGTAGAGTACAGATACGATGTTAGAGATTCATTTTGCAGCTTCAGTGAGCGCACTCTGTGACCACGCTGTTGTAGTAAATGCAGAATGAGACTTGGTATTGTCATGATCTAGTGACCAAGGGCTTCCCATGAAATAAGTCATCTTGATGGCAGTATATGTACATTGTGTACAATCCCAATATATGCCTCCTTGTCAATGGTATCTTCACACATATGCCAGTCAGCCATGCCTGCACCCCATACCATGACAGACGTTTGCTTTTGCATCTGTCACTGATGAAAGTCTGGATGGTCCCTTTGGTCTTTGGGACTAAGAACTCGACATCCATCTTTTCCTGAAATGCTGTTGAGTTTAATTCTGGTTTGAATTAGGCTTTATTTAATGAAACCTGACTTGCCCCTTGGTTTTTTTTATTTGAACATTTAAATATGTAATGATTAAAGGTGCTGTATGTAGGATTGACACCGAGTGGTTGAACTACGTATTGCAGTCCAAATTCAAAATATTGGAGAGGGTTTTTTTTCACCCGGTCCCTGCTCCTCAGACTTGACGCACACGCAGGTTGCCAGATTGACGCTCTGACCCCTTTCGTTTGCCAGCTTCCATTACTGAATTGAAATACGCTGTGTTTCCCGCCAACTGGCAACCCGGGGTGCCGAAATACAATTGGGTAAACTGGCAGTGGGCGGGTTTCACAAACCAAAAACAGAGACCGACATTCCGGCCCAGAACGCACATTTTCAAAGGAGAATAACTGACTGTGTAGCATTGTTTTTCAGATAAATAAATATGTTAACTTAGCATGTTTCTTAAATATCTGCAAACATATTATTGTATTTTTATGCTTTTAGTCAAAAACTTACATACTACAGCACCTTCAATAATACATCTTGGTTCAACAAATAGTGTCACTGTTCAGTTTTGTCCTTTTGAAAAAAAAAAAAAAAAAGTCAAAATTTTACAGTGAATTGGTTAGGAACTTGTTAAAAAAATTTTGCAGGTGCACATGTACAAAAGCGCATTTACTTCAGCTTTTTGTCTATACCATTCACACTTTCCTTCTGTTCAAGCTATAGTGTCTTAATAAGACTATTCTTAATAATATTTGCAACTGTCACAGTAACAAGATTTAGGATGTGTGATACCAATTAAGCAAAAGAGTTAGTTTGAAACATCTTTATAATGCAATTATTTGTATTTTGTTTCTAAGGGTATCAATCAACAAATCTGCCCGGACCATTTCAGAATATTTCTGTTGAATAAACAATAATTTGTATCTTTTCACACTTTCTTTGCATTACTCAATACCAAATGCATGCAGATATATACAGTATATGAGACAGTTCCTTTTAATTTAAGTAGTTTTCAGGAGGAATGGAGCATTTTATTAATGAGCTGTACGGGTACCAACAAATCTGCCCACGTCTCTGTACATGTATAATGAAACTAGCCGCCATTTGCCTCAAACTGCCTGAAGTTCCTCTCTGGTGTTTTCTCAGCATTACTGCAGTCCACTGGGTCCAGACTCCAATTCATCTACTAGACAACATTCTTCCTTCTTCAGCAGTCGGTAGAATTCTGCTTTTACAGCAGCTCCTCCAGACTCAAGAACATCCAACAAGAGTCTCATTTTTTTCTGTCGTGTTTCTGCAGCATGAACTTTACTGTACATTTCACCTGGAATCATGTCTTTAGTCCTCAGACCATCAGCAATAGTCATCACTGATGAAACTCTCTGAATGAGTTCATCTCTGTGTTTTTTCACAAATCCACATTCTGATTGAAACAACCAAAGAAAAAAGATTACAATTATTTTTGTGCTTGTGTGTGATAGAATACACCAAATGAAATGTAACTGCATATACCTGTGAGCCTTTGGTGAGCAGTGGGTTCTACGTCTTGACCTGATTATATTAAAAATAAATAGGTTTGATGACTGAAAAATCTGTAAATACCTTTACAAGTGACAACGTTAATATGTATGTACCATTATATAAACATAACGGTAACATTGAAGTATTGACATTGATAAAGTCTTTACAGATCATAAAAATGAATTTAGAATGGGGTAGATAATATGGTTAACATGGGTTAAATCATTTTATAAAATGTATTGATCACCTAATAAGTGACAGAATTTTATACATTTTATAAATGTTTATTAGACTGTTAAATAAATATCCAATCATATGCTTTTTATATGATTTCATAACTAGGGTTAAAATTGCACCCAACTTCACAGCCATGACAAATACTGATGTGGTTACTAGTTAAGTCTGTAATTCATGTCACTCGTTACCTGTGACAAGGATTCGCCGTGGTTCCCACACCTCCATTCCTTTAGTTTTATCCAAAAGACTCAGTCTGATTTCCTCAATGTTCACATCCACAAACACTTCAAACGTGGGATGATAGTTTGGACCATAATTGCGTTCAAAAGTCTCCATCTGAAACAAAGAACAGCAAAATGAAGGTGTGACAAAGCAAAAATAAACTACAGTTTATATCCATTACATAGATTACTCATGGTGCAAATCATGCAAAAAACTCTCAGTTATCCACAAATCACAAAAACAAGTTTTACTGAAAATAATTATGAATCTTACTGAAAACAAATATTTTATGTTTTTGCAATAATGCTTATGTCAAATAGGCCTATGATGTTACCTCTGGCTGCACTGTAGATTCCTCTGGTTGACAACACAAATGGTATTCTGTTCCCGGAGTAAGCGAACACTTTGAACTGGTTTTGATGTGCTTGCTCTCTGTGTGCTGATACTTGACCTAGAGAGGAAGAGGCTGTGAATTTCAGATTTTCAGATTTACAAATAGCTTAGGCTTTTCTTAACCGAAGAGAATTCATTTTTACACATGGTTTTTTTTAAAAATCATGGTTTTACATTTTAAAGTTTAACTGGTTAGCAGTCATGTGTAGGGATTTTCATAATTAAAATAGTTAACCCTGGGTCATTACGGAATCCTGAGTTTTCTTGCTTCATGTTTCACACTGCTCAAACTTGACCCCGGGTTAACAATTAATCTTGAATATTCATGAAATGACATTTCACATTGTACCTTCCTAAACCCTGTGTCATATTTGCATATTTACAGTGTCAGTGATGTTGACAGCACGCGGCCGGTTTACATAAAGGCTTTAGCATTGCACGTTCTCATATAGGCTATTGCTGACTGTACTATCAGAGTTTTCCTAAATTTACTTTTTGGACTAAAGATAAGAATAAAACAGTCTCTTCTTCACTCCAATTGACACATCTTGCATCACTATTTGAAATTGGCGCGTTTCCATTAACGTTACGGATTTGCGCAAAACTTTGGCGATATTTTATAAATGTCGATAAAAAAGTATTGCGAAATGACGGCGTTTCCATTAACCAATGTTATGCGACTAAAACGTAACCTTTTGCCTCTTGCGATAAGTCGTGGCAACGGATTTTGGCTATTTTATTTAAAGGATTCACAGAGAGCCGCTTCAGAAACGTGCGTGGCGCCGCTGGATTCTGGAATAAACACAAGCATTGTGGCTGCAATCAGCTTCAGTGGCCGTATCAGAGCCACACTGCACCGCAGACGTGTGCAGTGTAAATTGTCTAAGCATTAAAGGGGTCATATGATGCTGCTAAAAAGAACATTATTTTGTGTATTTGGTGTAATGAAATGTGTTTATGCGGTTTAAGGTTAAAAGAACACATTATTTTCCACATACTGTACATTATTGTTTCTCCTCTATGCCCCGCCTTTCTGAAACGCATCGATTTTTACAAAGCTCATCTGTCTGAAAAGCGAGGTGTGCTCTGATTGGCCAGCTATCCAGTGCGTTGTGATTGGCCGAATACCTCAAGCGTGTGACTGAAATGTTACGCCCCTTACCATATTATGATGCCCCGTCCGGCCGGAGCAACGAGACAAAAACATTAAAACTCATTATAAACAAGGCATGTGCAGTGTAAATTGTCTAAGCATTAGTGGTAGGGAAAGCCCCTTATACTGGAGCGCTGCCACTTATGAAGTGTTTCTTGGAGGTTATAGTACATTGAAGAATGATCATATGACTTTTTACATACGCCATGTGACCTGTAAATGCGGAAAAGCCGTTTCCATTGCAGTTTTGCGAATTATTCCTTTTTCGCATTGCCTGAAAAACCACCTCATGCGAGCGTAAAAACTTTTTTGCGATATATGGGCGTTTTTGCGAAATTGACACGCCTATTTATTGTTCGCTATGGAATGGCTGTTTATGCAACAGGATTTTTGTGACTGTCTAAAGCTCATGAATGTGAGGCACACAATTGCCTGTCTAGTCGTGTCCTCTTTTGGAAGACCAAACAAAGTAGTTTCGCTTTCGCAACAAAACAGCGGCACACACATTACAAACCTTGAGTGAGCAGAGGCCTAGAGTGAGCGGCGGCCTAGAGTATGCGGCGGTCGGCTAGAGTGAGCGGAGGCGGGTGGGCTTGAGAACGGCGCGGCTGGCAGATTCGACGAAGGAGCGTCCGGCGGGCTTGCGGCAACCACATGTGACGACCCCGGACTGGACTCCGCTTCGTCCACGGTGAAAGTTCCACAGCGATCCACAGCGCGAAGTTGATGTATTTCCTCAGCAACCAGCACGGATCAGCTCCAGTGAGGCGCGTACTGGAAATATGCTTATGAATGTTATTAATTTACATTTTATTAAAACCTGCAAAAACCTTTCTGTCGAGTGATGTAAATAAATTTTACAATAGTTTATTGTGCATTCATATTATATTTAAAGTTGCTTAAGCGAAATCAAGGAGTTTATAAGACTGGTTTATTCATTCTTTATACTGTAGACATGTAGAACATATCCGCGTTTGTGCATCAATGTCTGTAATGTGTGCTGTAGGTGCGAAACTTTTAGGAATCTTATCCAAGTTGTAGGCTAGTCAATATTGGTCAGTCAGTCGTATCTGACATAAGGATCCGCGAATTAATCTGTGACCACAAACACGTACCATTAACTTAAATTAATTATATGGCAATAATCACTAATCGGCAATATGCTTTCACACAAATAACTTTATATTTGAATCTTTCAATATGCGTTGACACAAATTACTTATTTGAATTTTTCATTGATACAACATGGCACTGAGTTGTTAGAAAAGAAAAGCGTAGAGACGTTATTGCTTGATGACGTCAGGAACCGATGAATCGGCTTTTTGAACCGGTTCAATGAGTCCATCTGTCCGAAAAGTACCGGTTCACGGAAATGAATCGGACTTTGCATCACTACTGTCGGCTGCTAAGCATCTAGTCATAGCATTCTAACACCACATCGTTTCACCCTGTATCCACCTTTTTCTTGTCGTAAAAATGGGCGCGGCCATTTGTAAATTCTATGGGTCTGGCTTCCGGTCTCATCTGCGTCCACTCCGTCCAGCTATTTTTAGCTGAACAAAACAGTTCGTTTTTCTGCTTGATATTGAAAGTTGGTGTGTCTTATATTATTTTAATGTATTATCTTAATTATGAACACACTGGTTTGTAGTGCAAACAGTTTTACCGTTTACTGCACGTTGTTATTCTCCTCGTTATTTACCTATAGCGGCTAATGAACCGGAAGTCTCACCCATAGGCTTACTTCCGCGTTGAAGAAAAAGGTGGATAAGGTTGGCACTGCAATGCAGGGTTAACACCGCAAAAGCAGTGCTAACTCCGTTCCAGAGCAGGGTTTCATAACCCTGTGTAAAAAGTGGTGTTAACTCCGGTTCTAAATTACAAGTGTGAAATAAATACATTTGATACAGATCAGAGAGTGTGTTAATACCAACCCATCCAAATACAAGACACATTTGCAATGTATGTGAAAGAGGTTTTCATAAAAGACAGTTTCATTATATTATTTGCTTTTATTTTAATAAATGTATAACAATACCTCTGACACTGAAACATTCAACGGGAGCAAATGGACATCCAGTATGTTTTCTCTCTGTCTCACAGTTATTGGCCGCAGAAAAAGAAGCACTTGGGCAATGACAGGTGAAGGAGAAAAGATCTTCCTTTTTATGAGCCCAAAGAGGGACAGATCTCTGATGTCAATCATCACATGAGTTTCAGTCATTTTAAGAGGCTTCATTATTTCTACATTACCACCAGTGAAATGTGCTACAGCCAAACTGTCTTTGTTCTCCTCTGTAAAACATATACAATTTACAAGTTATTCTTGACGTTTAAACATTTATTCAACAGGTTTTTACTGTTATAAAACTGAAAGCTTGTGTACTTTATACTGTATATATTTTTAAAAAGTTACATGTTAAAAACGATCACTGTACCATCCATTCATATAACATGTAATAAACCTACCAGAGAGTATTTCGCAGTGTGGAAGGTGCAGTCCTGAGATTGAACCATTAAAACAGTCAATGTTGTACAAATGTCCTGCAGGCTGCATCTGACCCAAACCATCTAACAGACGAGGATCCCATGAGACAACTCTATACAGCACCTCTCCTTCACCCTCCATCACAAACACAAGACTGGTCAGACTGCACTGAAACTGACCAGCATGTGCACACACAAACCTGAAGGACAGAATATTTTTTTGTTATTAAATCATAATGGCATGCATCTTTTATTAAGCGATAATGCACAGTAAAGCTCAACAGATTAGGGGGTGTGGATCATGATTTTAGTAAAATCATTCCAACCGAATCAGAAATATCAACAAAGTGCTGCAGTGATGATGTATTTTTGTAGGCCAGCCCAGAGTTAGCATCACCCTGGTTCCCTCGACAATAGGATCCAAGAGGGTATTACTGATGTATTTTATGTTGCAGAATAAACTGTGAAAATATCTTGAGTGTGTGTTAAACACAGACCTTATTTCAGGCAAGAAGTGCTAAAATGCTAACTTATTTTCGGTTTTGTTTTGTGCCTACAAAAATACATCACCCCTGCAGCGCTCTATTTCACATAAACAGGAAAGCAAATTAAAATAAACACTGTTGGGGCCAGGGCCGGATTTACCTCTTTTCGTGACATAGGCAAAACAAATTTTTGTGGCCCCCTTCCATATTAATATAATAGGTCTAACATTAGCTACCACCCAAGCAAACAAAAGCACCTCATCCCAAACCTTCCGTTGCAAATTCCAAAATGTCATTTTAGAGCTAATAACTGAGGCTTGAGCCATTGATATGCAGGCTAATGCAGTTATTAATGCAGTCTAACGCTCTTAGAGAGAGAGAGAGAGAGAGAGAGAGATCAAGCGCGTGTGAATACTTGCTTCTGTGCATCTCTCAGCAATGTTAAGCCGCAGCGTCTACTAATAGTGAATCTTTAAGTTAAACTGCTTCAAGAACCTTGTTACTGAGAAATGTCATGTACACTCTTAAAAATAAAGGTGCTTCAAAAGGTTCTTCACAGCGATGCCATAGAAGAACCATTTTTTGGTTCCACAAAGAACCATTCAGTCAAAGGTTCTTTAAAGAACCATCTCTTTCTTACCTTTTTATAATCTGAAGAACCTTTTTTCACCACAAAGAACCGTTTGTGAAACAGAAAGGTTCTTCAGATATTAAAGGTTCTTTATGGAACCATTTAGACAAAAAGGTTCTTCTATGGCATCGTGAAGCACCTTTATTTTTAAGAGAGTAGCTTTTCAGCTGCACAACTATTTTATTGATACATTCTCGGGGCAGCGCTGACAACAAGTTTCTGGTCAAGTCTCCGCATGTGTGCGCGTCTGTGAGAGAGAACAGGAGAAAGAAAGCGTGATTTCCTTAGCCTACATAAAAAAGGTGGAAGACATGGAAATACTTTGTCATTTTTTAACCTATTGTTTGTTATATTTATTTGCTCAATGTCTTTTGGGGTTTTGGTTCTTTTACTGTTGTAGATAGCCCATAGTATAACAAAAATATTATATATCTATTCATCGTGTTTGGGCCCCCCTGGACGAGCGAGCATAGGCACGTGCCTAGAATGCCTATGCATAAACCCGGCCCTGGTTGGGGCAAAAATACAGTAAATGTGACATTTCAATAAGTACAATATTGTGCGTTATGGTTGTTACTGTTACTCAAAAAAGACAAAAAGTATTATAAAAACAACACACAAATTTTCATGCATGTATTCATGCATATAATTTTTGTTCATATATTCCAGATCTTCTGAAGACATTCAGAAACTATCTGCTGCAACTATCCGGTCAAACATCAGCATTCAATCAGCGTGTCACGTTCAGTTACAACAGTCAGCACGATAAAACTCTTTAGATATTTCAATGTTCACATTATCACGCATAATCTGAACATAAAGTTCTGTGCTTTTGTTTGAAAGGACTGTATTTTCTTTAAGTTTATTGGTGATTATGAAATGTGTGGTGCTCGCTAGTGATGGGAGAAACAAAGGTTTTCAAAACTCATTGCTTCGCAAACTTCACTGTTTCGTTTTTTAATACCTGTATGCTTTCTTGTCTTTGTCATCTCCCTGAAGTAGTTCAGGTGTAAAAACTTCTGCATCTTCTGAGGACTGAAGTAAAGAAAAGAATGAAGAGAAAAGTTTATCCTCCAAATTATGTTGTTATTTAAAATAATACATTTCTGTAAACATTCTGAATATTTAAGTAAAATACCAGTGTTTGCAAGGAACTAAAGAATAGTGTTAAAGTTTTGGGTAAAATTATATTTGGGGGAAAAAAAAGAAAAAATATGAAATGAGCATAAAAAAATAATTAATGTTACACCAAACACACAAAATAATGATCTTTAAAAAAGCATCATATGACCCCTTTAAAGAAAGAAAGAAAGGACAGACACAGCTGTTACTCACTGATTGTTCAGTAGATGATTGAGCATTTAATGATGAATAAGTCACAGAATCTGAACTCTCTTCTACTGTCAGACAAAACACAATTCTGGGTTTAAAACTGTTTAACTCAAAACCACACATTAAATTGAGATACTATTCTGTGTACTGGCACCTAAGCTTTTCAAACGAACAGACAACAGGGTTCATAATTATCACATGGCAAAGCACCAATAAAAACTGGGTTTGGTAAATAAAGTAAATTACAAATTAAATCTAAATCAATTTAAAGTTTTTTTTTTCTTAAAGTTGCCAGTTTTTTTTTTTTTATAATTTGATTTAAGCAGAATGAGTTACAATGAGTTCCATAAGGAACAAATGAAACAGATCCAGCAAGGGTTCTGGAATTATATACTAAAAGACAAGCAGTAAACATTTTGCTTACTTTTACTCTCACTCTTTTCTCTATTTGTCTTCAGCTCCTCCTCTGTAAATCTTCTCCTGTCTGGTTGAATCAATACTGTTTTCCCCCAGCTAATGAGAATAACATTCCACACTGATAATGAACATACTGCAAAATTATTAAATATCCTTAAAGCAACAAAATTGGCTGTTGATTACTGTTTATCTACATATAAATAATCTCCACAATGAACTGAAAGAAAATGCTATCTATCTAATAAATAAGGCTTACACAGTCAGAGTCCAAGCCATCTGCTTCAATGATTCCTTCAGGGACTGGATTTGCACCAGATGGATGAATGGATATCTAAAATTTACACTGGAAAAAAAAATCAAATTAACTACATTCATTCTAAAACAGCAAGAGCTTCTGGTTCACTGTGATCAATGGTTAGGAAAAAACATTTATTTAAAACCACCACTTAAGCCAAATTTTTATTAGAAAACTGAAAAAAAACTACTTAAATGCTCTGATATTGTTGTTACCTTAGTTCAATTAGGCTGGGACAGGCCTGAATGAGGGATAAGATTTTAGGGCCAAATGTAGTCAGATCTGAAACCTGCAGACAAACTTTCTTTAAACCGGACACTGATTGCAGGAATGTCAACAGTCCCTTTTCCACAAGACCACTAAAAAACACAAAGTCTACATGAATTTGTACTTGTAACATGCTTAATCTCAAGCACAAAGTTAAATATCTACATGCTTTCTTTTTTAAGAATAAAAATAAAATAAACAGATTTTCTCTCATTAACTCTCATACTCAGATGATGATGTAAAAAGCAAACAAACTTTATTTATTTTATTCTTTTTATTTTCTTTTAATTGCCTTCTAAAATGCTTGCATGATGGCAAATGACAGCAACTTAAAAGACAGCAATTCCATTGTATACTGTAAATATTATAAGGGGGTATATCTGAAAATAGAAAGAATGAAGCTTCCACTCACAAAAGATTAAACATGCACAATGCTGGCTTGTTCTGTGATTTTACCCAGTTGATGGTGGAAACCACTGAGCTTGGACAGGTTAGAGTTAATTCCGTCTTTAATGATGTCGCTATCTTTGACATGCTCACAGACAACCTAAAGCAGCCAGAAATAAAAATTAATTTTCGTATAGGTTTATAGGCCTTCTAAAAATCAAGTCTTAGGATGAGACTACACTTTTGCATGTGACAAGTGATTTAAATGATTGAGATTCTTACGTGATGTCTTTATCTCTGACTGACAGAGTGACCTCTGGGTAGAACAGACTTCCACTGTTTTCAAGCTCCTTTATACTGGCAATTTAAAAAATGCACATTATTTAGTAATTGCATTACTGTGATTAGTAATTCAATTATTAGATCTTACAAAAAAAATTTATTTCAGAATTACATCAATTTATTCAGAATCTTTCCTTTACCAGCAGTTGAAATCAAACCAACAACATAATCTGGAATGCAATCCATCATCAACCTTTAAAAGTAAAAAGAGCACAGTATATCAGGAAACATATTTAATAATCCTTATACAAGTGCTAATTCTGAATGACTGAAGTTCATTCTGAATGATTAAGGTGTGAGCAGTTTTGGACAGAGCTGTGCAATTTTGCCTGGGGAGAATATATATATGCAAACTGGCCAAATTTCCACTGAAATGCAAGTAATTTGATATCAACTTCTTGTTGTTGACTGACCAAGTTAATTTTTATTAATATATGCTGCTAAATATTGAATAACAGATGATCTTCAAAGCTGAATCACAGCTGTACTCATCTCAGCTGCAGAAACTCTTGCTTGTGTGATATTGCTTAAATATTATAATTTTACATCACAGTTTGAGATTCAATATTAGTGAATGCATTGTGATTGCAGTGAGTAAATACAAATGTGCAAGTAGTAATAATAATGATAATAAATGTGTCATGTGTCTTTCACTCACCACAGCTCTTTACAGCGGTACAGTTCAGGCTGGAGCATCTTCAGATTATCAGATGTTACAAGGAGTTTCAGGTTTCTGATGTGTTCACAGCACTGTAAACAGTACTTCAACACCCAACAGTCTGTCCTTTTCAGTGGAGTATTAGACAGATCTATCAAAACCAAACCTTCCAAAATTTTGTCAATTAAGCTCTTCTCATGAAGCTCGTAGAGACAATGGAGGATGAACAGCATGTGCTCATTTTCATATCTCTGTGAACACCAACTAATCCATTCCTTAAGCTGGGTTTCTATGCTGATAGAAACAGCCATGTTGAGCTTTTCAAAGAATGAGGGGATCCATTCTTTCTTACAAAGACCACAGAGGAAGAGAATCACAGGTTGCAGCAGTTTTGTATGTCTCACTTCTACATCTGCCATTGAAAATTCCCTATCAGACCAATCAGACAATGCCCAACCTCTCTCTACAGTGTGAAGCAGCTCCCTCACTTTCCTCTGAGACTCTTCTGCATCCAGAAGAACATAGTACAGAGCAGTGAAGAACTCCTGAAAGCTGTGATGCATGAAACTAAACATGGTCTCCTGGCGAATTCTTCTCTTAGAGAGGAAGTTGCACAGGAATGGCTTTCCAGCAAGGTCTGAAATGGATTCATTTACAGTTTTCTCATCAAACAGCACTTGTTGTTCCAGCATCCCTCTCTCTGCCAGCTGACCCAGACTCCTCAGCAGGTTCGGCACAGACTGACTCAAACCCTGGCAGTGATGCTCCACTAGAGTGGACACAAAGTCAACATAGATGGAGGTGGTGGTTTCCAGTCCACTTGTTACATTTGCACCAACCTTGAACATCTCACTGATTATCCAGCGGATAACAGGAATGGAACAGGCAGTGAGGAGGGTTTCATTTGTTCTCACACAGTCATACTCTTTCGTGAAGAACTTCTGGAAGTATCCCGCAACCTTCCTCACAGAAAAGCCCATGATCTCAGTAAAACACTTTTGTCCTTTCAGCAGCTTGTTCACTGTGTTCTTAGTTCTGGTGGTGACCAGCAGGTTGGTCTCAGGGATGAGGTATCTCCTCAACAGGGCACAAAGAATGACCTCAGGTGGGGCTTTCTGAAGTGGATTAGTGTGTGCTGACATGTCATAAATGTCCTGTGAAAGTCTCAGTTCATCAAATCCATCAATGATGAAAAGCACTTTCTCTGGTGAATGCTGTAGTATCTGTGAGATCTGATCTGATGTTAAACTACAGCTGTAGCTCAAGAGCTCAATTAAGTTAATCTCCTCAGAAATACACATCAGCTCTTCACACCTCAGATAGAAAACTAGATAAAAACGACTAGTAGAAAACTCTTCAGATGCCCAGTCCAATGTGATCTTTTGCGCTATAAGGGATTTGCCACTGCCAGAGTCGCCTTGGAGAATGACAGTCACTGCCCTATACAAGTGAAAAAACTCATGCACATGGGTGATCTTAAAACTGCCGTTTCTGTTTTTCTGAATGATCAGTGGTTCAGTATAGAGGGCACTGCAGAAACTCTTGCTTGTGTGATATTGCTTAAATATTATAATTTTACATCACAGTTTGAGATTCAATATTAGTGAATGCATTGTGATTGCAGTGAGTAAATACAAATGTGCAAGTAGTAATAATAATGATAATAAATGTGTCATGTGTCTTTCACTCACCACAGCTCTTTACAGCGGTACAGTTCAGGCTGGAGCATCTTCAGATTATCAGATGTTACAAGGAGTTTCAGGTTTCTGATGTGTTCACAGCACTGTAAACAGTACTTCAACACCCAACAGTCTGTCCTTTTCAGTGGTGAATTCGACAGATCTATCAAAACCAATTTTTCCAAGACTTTTCTAATGAAACTCTTCTCATGAAGCTCATAGAGACAATGGAGAATGAACAGCATGTGTTCACTTTGATATCTCTGTGAATATGTACTGATCCATTCCTTAAGCTGGGTTTCTATGCTGATAGAAACAGCCATGTTGAGCTTTTCAAAGAATGAGGGGATCCATTCTTTCTTACAAAGACCACAGAGGAAGAGAATCACAGGTTGCAGCAGTTTTGTATGTCTCACTTCTACATCTGCCATTGAAAATTCCCTATCAGACCAATCAGACAATGCCCAACCTCTCTCTACAGTGTGAAGCAGCTCCCTCACTTTCCTCTGAGACTCTTCTGCATCCAGAAGAACATAGTACAGAGCAGTGAAGAACTCCTGAAAGCTATGATACATGAAAGTGAACATTGTCTCCTGATGGATTCTTCTCTTAGAGAGGAAGTTGCACAGGACTGGACTGCCAGCAGGTTCTGAAATGGATTCATTTACAGTTTTCTCATCAAACAGCACTTGTTGTTCCAGCATCCCTCTCTCTGCCAGCTGACCCAGACTCCTCAGCAGGTTCGGCACAGACTGACTCAAACCCTGGCAGTGATGCTCCACTAGAGTGGACACAAAGTCAACATAGATGGAGGTGGTGGTTTCCAGTCCACTTGTTACATTTGCACCAACCTTGAACATCTCACTGATTATCCAGCGGATAACAGGAATGGAACAGGCAGTGAGGAGGGTTTCATTTGTTCTCACACAGTCATACTCTTTCGTGAAGAACTTCTGGAAGTATCCCGCAACCTTCCTCACAGAAAAGCCCATGATCTCAGTAAAACACTTTTGTCCTTTCAGCAGCTTGTTCACTGTGTTCTTAGTTCTGGTGGTGACCAGCAGGTTGGTCTCAGGGATGAGGTATCTCCTCAACAGGGCACAAAGAATGACCTCAGGTGGGGCTTTCTGAAGTGGATTAGTGTGTGCTGACATGTCATAAATGTCCTGTGAAAGTCTCAGTTCATCAAATCCATCAATGATGAAAAGCACTTTCTCTGGTGAATGCTGTAGTATCTGTGAGATCTGATCTGATGTTAAACTACAGCTGTAGCTCAAGAGCTCAATTAAGTTAATCTCCTCAGAAATACACATCAGCTCTTCACACCTCAGATAGAAAACTAGATAAAAACGACTAGTAGAAAACTCTTCAGATGCCCAGTCCAATGTGATCTTTTGCGCTATAAGGGATTTGCCACTGCCAGAGTCGCCTTGGAGAATGACAGTCACTGCCCTATACAAGTGAAAAAACTCATGCACATGGGTGATCTTAAAACTGCCGTTTCTGTTTTTCTGAATGATCAGTGGTTCAGTATAGAGGGCAGAAAATGACTCTTGTTCACCAGTCATGAAGCTCCACTTACTCTCATACTTCTGTTTGACAGACAACTTGTACTGATGTACTATCTCCCAAATTCCTACAAGAAAACCATATGATTTACATGACAAGAGTTTGTTTTCTGCATCAACAGAAAATAAGCTAATATTGCATTACAGCTACTGTGTTCCGGAAATATTGTAAAGAGATATGCATTTTATTTGCAAAAAAGCAGTTACAGCATATATAGAGAGTAGACTGAGATGATGTGATTTCTTTTTGTTCAATTGTGACCCTGGACCACAAAACCAGTCATAAGGGTCATTTTTTTTTTGCTGAATTTGCTGATTTGCTGAATAAATACGCTTTCCATTGATGTGTGTTTTGTTAGGATAGGATAATATTTTGCCGAGATACAACTATTTGAAAATCTGGAATCTGACGGTGCAAAAAAAATCAAAATACTGAGAAAATTGCCTTTAAAGTTGTCCAAATGAAGTGAGAAAATCGCCTTTAAAGTTGTCCAAATGAAGTTCTTAGCAATGCATATTACTAATCAAAAATTAAGTTTTGATATATTTACGGTTGATAAATTTACAAAATTTCTTCATGGAACATGATCTTTACTTAATATCCTAATGATTTTTGGCATAAAAGAAAAATCAATCATTTTGACCCATTCAATGTTTTTTTGGCTATTGCTACAAATATACCCCAGCGACTTAAGACTGGTTTTGTGCTCCAGGGTCACAAATATAACAACATCACTTTGGCACATAATGTAGAGTATACACACTGGAGCAAATTCTCTCCCACATTAGCCCCTATTAATTTTTAGTTTTTAAAATATTACTCTAAAATCTATAATTCCATCATCTATAAAATCTGATTTGTATATCCCATGATGATTATGAATGGACAGATTCGATTTTCAAGTACCGTATTGTCCCGAATATAAGACGATATTTTTTTCTTGGAAATACATCTGAAAAAACGCGGTCGTCTTATATTCGGGGTCTAGACTTTGACATGTCAATAATACACCCACAACAATAGGTGGCGCCAAATACGCATAAAACGAGTGTGCCATGAAATACGTAATGTAATGCGTGGTCACGTTAGCATGATGGGACCAGACTCCCTTTGTGATTTTAAAACGTAAGACAGTACCCAGATTTGAAGACTACAACTAGATTTAACTTCTACTCTTAATAAGATTTTGGTAGGCTACTATTAGATGGATAGCCTAAATGTCCTAAATCAGATGGGCTACCTGTTTTTTTTTTTTTTTTATGGTTTATCAAAAAGGGTATATTTTTTAAATGTGATTGTTGGTACATTTTACCAGTTTTTACCATACTTTCAAAACAAAAATAAAAATAGGAAAAATATGCAATATGAAAATAATTGAAGACAAAATGTGTTTTACTGAGAAAAAACAAGATTTGGTTTTTAAAAAGCCTTTTTCCAAAAGGTACATCTGGAAAAAAGGGGGGGGGGTCGTCTTATAATCAGGGTCGTCTTATATTCGGGCCAATACGGTAATTTCTCTCATCATTCAGGGCACAACAAAGTGCACGATATTGTCAGAACGTGTTTTAAATACTATGTGTCATTCAGCAGTAAACAGTGAATGACTGAACAATTTAGCATAGTACATTTCAGACACTGAGAGCTGTTCTTTATGCTGTATGATAAAGCATCTAGCTGTCATGTGTAATGAATCCAGTTTCATCACTAATCAAAGTGGGCACAATCAGTCCTAAAGATCTGGAGCCGTATTTACAAAACATCTTAGGGCTAAAAGTAGCTCATTACTAGCCAATTTAGGAGAAACTCTTAAAAATAACAGCAGTGTCAGTCCTAATTTTAGGACTCCTACATTTTTGCTCTAATAGTATTTCACACAGCGTTTTAGCGCTAAAAAAACAGCTCCTAAGTCTGTAAAAAATTAGGGGACTCCTATGTCACTAAGACCAAATCACAAACCATCCTAAAATGGCTGTTGCTGTCAATCCAACTCAAAATGTAAACATTTTGTTGGCAGTAATAGCCTTGCGGGCAGTGCGCTGGCATAAAGCGCAGTTGCGCTTCAGGAGTCCTGAGTTCGAGTCCCGGCTCACGGACCTTTCCCGATCCTGCCCCACCCCCCCTCTCTCTCTCTCCCACTTCGCTTCCTGTCTACATACTGTCCTATCCTAATAAAAGCAAACATAAGACTTTAATAACAAGTAAACCTTTTAGAAGCATTTCACTATAATTTCCCTTTAATTTAATTATGTCCTGCTTTTCATGTAGAAGAAGTAACAGCTGTTCTTGCGTCCAGTTTGGTTTTCTTTTACGTTTGTATGTCTTACTATCAGCCATGATTATTCTACTCTGTTAATTAAAAGGTTATTTATATGCGTATCCACTTGTTTACAAGATGCAGACAAGCTGACAATTAGATGAACATATATTTGTTTAATTAGTGACATTAGCCTACATTTGAAAAACTTCATTTGAATATGGTGACATGATACCTCATTCTACAATATTTCTATGATTAAATCACAGAAACCCATCCCCTATCAGTCAATCACAGAGGGTGTAGTTAAAAAGCTTGTTGACGTCCTCCATAGCAACAAAGTCAACCCTGCCTTTTCTCTTAAGATTTCTCCCCATTCCTTAGTAAAAGTTGCTCTCGGCAGCTTTGTGAATAGGTTGTAAAAGAAAACACTTAACTAACTTTTAATGCTATTTAGGCAAACTTTAGTGGCAAGATCAAATGTTTTGTGAATAAGGTCCCAGAGTTACATGCAGTCTGAACAAAGCACATGGTGTTCTGTGTTTCTCAACTGGTGATTTGCCTATAAAATATATATTTATTTTTATATTTTTGGCAATCGAAGCAGAGGTCTCATTTTTAATGCAAAAATATGGGCCTACCTGTCAAGCTGAGTAAATGTACCAATTCTGCAGAGGAATCCCAAGGCTTCAAAAAAAAAAAGTTTTATTAATGTCAATGATAAAAGGTAATATAATTTAACAGATGACAATAGGAATGTAAATTAATGTTTAGTACAGCTTAAACAGTATTGCCTGTTTGGAACAAAATAGTACACCCCTACATTTAACATTAAATGTCAAAAGTTAGCTAATAGAACTGTTGAAAATAAGATGTCTCAAGTCCTCAGTGTCTCATAGTGTCATTATATTTTTCACTTTCAATTCACTTACATCACTTTCAGGCCTTCTTACTGTCATGGTGGACGAAGTCATCAATTCGGTACTCCGTACTTGAAAAGAATCAGAGTTCATGTCAGATGTACCTAAATTGAAGCATGAAGGAATTTGAAGACAATCTATACTGATTTAGGTGCAATTTTAAAATTAAAGCTGCAGGCAGCTGAATATTGGCATGTAGATGTCTTCAAGCCAGGACTTTGATCAAACATATGAAGTTTGGTGCAGATTGAATATGGTATGTTTGAGTTAGTGTAGTGAGTTAGTTGGACTGTTGCCAACAGGTGGTGCTCTGATTACAACTGTATATTGGCCTTTAGATGTCTTCAGGTGAAACATCGAACTTTGTCAGGCCACCAAGGACAACACCCTTTAACGAAAACTCAAGATCTTACCAAATACAATTTATGTCATTAAATCTCTAGGAGGAATTCGTTAGTGTAAAACATGCCACTTCCTGTTGCCAGCAGGTGGCACTATGACTATAACTGAATATGGGCATGGGCATGGGCATGTCTTCAGGACAGGACTCTTATCAAACATGTGAAGGGGCAGATCGGACATTGTCTGCCTAAATTATAACAACTTCCTATTTCATGGTGAAACATCGAAGTTTGTCAGGCCACCACAGACACACCCTTCAACGAAAACTCAAGATCTTCACAATTTAACATCACAAAGGGCTTTAGATTACACTGACCAAATTTGGTGTTGATCTGTTTAAATCACTAGGAGGAGTTTGCTTAAATACAACGACTGAAAATGGCAAAAACGGCACAAAACTTGCAGAGAAAATGAAAAATAACAGAATTCCTTTTGGGTTTCGGACTTCATACCGTGGGACTTTTTTTGTAGGTATTGGTGTGTTACATGTGTCTACCGAATTTTGAACATGGAGGTGAAACATAGCTCGAGGGGCACCTCGTTGAAATTTTATAGGTGGCGCTATTGAGCCATTTTGCCACACCTACTTCTGAAACCCATATCAGATGTAAATTTTTACCACTGGTGCTCAGGCCCTAATGAGATTAATGGTTCAATTTAATTGCTTAATTTTAATCACTGTATGTGTGGACTTAAATAATGAATAACAACTATTAATTTTTACTGTCAGCCGGACTGTAGTACTGTTGTGAAGTGTATACTCTATTAAAGAGATCTATGAACACAATGCTCTACTCTGGCCAATACAGATATACTTTTTTTTTTTTGCAGAAACAGAAACACATCCTCACTTCTATGGAACATCTGATGGTTATTGTACTTCAGTTTTAAATGAACTTACATTGTGATTTATGCATCTTCAGGCTTCTATGGCATACTGCAATACTACCGGGTTTACCTTTCGAGAGTGATGTTTGTATGATGTACTCTGAAAAACAGAATTATTCATGACACAGGCTGAATTGAGAACATTGGTGAAAAATGTCAGGACACAGCAAACATCTTAAAGGGGTCATATGATGCGATTTCAATTTTTCCTTTCTCTTTGGAGTGTTACAAGCTCTTGGTGCATAAAGAAGATCTGTAAAGTTGCAAAGACTAAAGTCTCAAATCCAAAGAGATATTCTTTATAAAAGTTAAGAGTCAGCCACACCTACCTAAAACGGCTCGTTCTAACACACCCCCACATACCTACGTCACGATCTCGGAAGATTTGCATAACGCCGCCCAAATGTTCACAAAAAGAAAGAAGGCGTAACTTTTATTCTCACTGTAGTATCGTTGCCGCCATGTCGTGAAGGCGCTGTGTGTTTCGTTGTGAAAGCGAAACTACTTTGTTTGACCTTCCAAAAGAGGACGATATCTGCTTCGTCATGCCTGGAGCTGACCCGTGCTGGTTGCTGAGGAAATACTACAACTTTGAGCTGTGGATCGTCGGATCGGCTTTCACCGTGGACGAAGCCCCGAGTCCAGCCCGGGGTCGTCACATGTGGTTGCCGCAAGCCCGCCCGCCGCCGCTCACTCAAGCCCCGCCGTGTGTTCCGTTGTGAAAGCGAAACTACTTTGTTTGCCTTCCAAAAGAGGACACGACTAGAAAAAGTTTTTAAATAGAAAAAAAAAAAAAAAAATCTAATGCAAACCATCTTTTCAGAAAATCAGCTTAATTTTATGAGGAAAATAAGGTTCATTGTTAAATGGATGGTTCCCCCAAAAAGAAAAGTCAGTCATGTAATTATTTAACCACCCTGTGGTGTTTTAATGCCATATGCCCATCTTTCTTTTTAGGACCACAGTAGGAGAAATTTTACAACTTTTTTCTTCTCTTTTTGTGTTGTGAAAAAGAAATAATAGAATAACACCAGCGAGTAAATGACTGAAATGTTCATGTTTGGTGGAACTATCATTACTTAACATAACTTTAACATGAACCCTTTAAAAAAAATGCATTAATTACAAAAGAATGCAAGCTGCATAAAACCGATTATCCATTTTATCCTGCATTCTTTTATACACAAAACTTGGTTCATTAGGTTTTATGACATCATGTCAAGGTTTTTACATCAATTACATTTAATGCAGACTGCTGGCTCACAAATATAATTTCTTTTGCCGGAGATTCTAAGCGCAACAAGAAACAATGTGCTCAGTACTGAACATCTCAACTTGTCTACTCACTGTCAGCGTCCAGACCCTCCATCTCTAGGGCGTTGTTTGAACTAAATATAGCTGAATTATCAGAGAGCTCATATGAAAATCAGGTTAAAACATTAGAACAAAGTTTTGTCACCAACTAATTTCGTCTCTTGGAAGGCGCCAATTACTGTTGTTAACGGATGTAGAGGGTAACAGGATGTTTTCACTAGTGTTTCACTTTCGAAACACGCTTCGTGAAGCTTTGAAACATTAGTGAATCATTTGTTTCGAACCTGTGATTCGGAGCAGGTGTCAATCTGCTAAAGTCACGCGAAGGCTTCGTTACGTTTTGAAACGTTTCGAAATTTCAGTGGTTCGCCGCTTTTTTTTTTACAGTTTTATACATTTGTAGACGTTTTAATGACACATTTGTATAAACTGAATAAAATTAGTTGTACAGTTTAATAACATTAACACATACAGACACTTATTATTTAATGTTAGTTAATTGCATTGAATACAGTACATTTCCAATAAAGCATTTGCAACAGATTAGTAAAAGGTATTTTTGTGCATGTTTTGGTTTTCGTTGCATTCACACCGTTTTGACCAGCAGGCGTCACCAGCGTGTGGCGTTTCGAAACAGTGAATCATTTTGATTCAATTGATTCAACGTTTTGTGGACTGCGACCCCAGATGATCTCGTATTGTAAGCGAGCGCGGTTTCTCCTCTGCACTTTAAAGGCCTTTAACCTTTAATCATTCGAAATGTTTTCACTTTTCACTTCATAGTAAGATATTCGAAGGTATGGAGGATGTAACAGTCATTCGGAACGCACTTTGAACCTTTGAAGTCATCTTTTCAAGCGAAATAAAGCTAAGAACACGCATCAACGTACATGATATTAGTAGCCTATAACAAATCACCTAAACTTTAAATTGTATAGTTAATTACAGTAATTACTTATACAAGTACCTCTAGATATCTTAAAATCACACTGAAACATTTGAACAAAGATCTTGATCTTTGTACATCAAATAAGAGAGCACACATTAAAGAAATACTATTGTTAATGCATCTGAAGAGTTTTCACCTTTATATGGCATAATTCTGTCAGGATTCGTATGTCTACAGCAAAAGCACACATAGCCTACATGAAGACATGCCCTCTGAGTAAATAGGGTTTTTTAATTATCTTAATATAGAGGATAATGAATTATAAATGTGATGACCAATATAATGTACACCATGACCTTGATTATTTACCACAGAAATACTAGATGAAGTGTGCTTGGCTTATGCTGATCAATGTCAATCAATGCTGAACACTTGGGTAGGCTATGTAAAACAGTACTGTTTTTCACCGGGTTTTTTAATATAGCCAAACAGTCATATGATCATGGCATTCGAACATTTGACAAACTTTATGAGGGGGAAACACAACATTTGGTCATTTTGCTGAATACATGATCATCAGGATTTACACAAATCTGTGGAGTTCATGCCGAATAGCCTAGATAGGAGAAAAAAAAGAAAGAAAACAAGCACCTGGATTTCAGTCATTACATGTACAGTTGCACTCAAAATTATTCAACCCTCCAGAGACTGCAGTATTTTACAAATACAAGTTTTTCTGAAGATCCAGGATTTTATAAAAAAACAGAGCTCTCACAAAAACTATAGAGAATAGTTTTATTATATTAGAAAGTCTAAGGCTACATGAAGATTTCCAAGACATTAAAAGTTCCTAGAGACACAGCTGGCAGCCTTATTCCTTAGTTTAAAATGGTTTGAACCAGAAAACATTTGAGGGTGTTGAACAAAAAAGCACAATATCATAAAATATTTCATCAGAGCAACTGAGAAAAACCTGCAATGTACAGCCAAAGACTTGCAAGATGACCCGGCGATAGGAGGAAAAACATTTCAATGCAGTGTATAAGAAGAACACTAGACAAGCATTGCCTTCTTGTTAAGGCATCTTGCTGAATACCACTCTTGACCAAGAAGAACCAAAAGGCCGACTAGAACATGCTAAAATTTATTTGGATAGAACTGTGGATTTCTGGAAGAATGTTTTATGGAGTGATTTGACCGAACTGGAACTTTTTGGACCTACGTGTCAGCAGTATGTTTGGTGCAAAAAAATGCAAAGCTTATATGCAGAAGAACACCATTTCCATGGTCAAACATGGAGGTGGGCCAGTCCTGTTATGGGGTGTTTTACTGTTGCAGGAAGTGGAAATCATAACTGTATGAAGGACATTATGAATTATTATGTATTAGGCCATTTTGGCAAGAATTGTGATGCTTTTGGTGCAAAGACTGAAGCTGATTATCAATGGACTTTCCTGCAATAATGACCCCATTCAGAAATTTACATCCCCTTGATTCTTAATACTGTGTTGTACACATCCACAGCTGTTTTTTTGTTTGATGATAGTGGTTCACGAGTCCCTTGTTTGTCCTGAACAGTTCAAACTGCCTGCTGTTCTTCAGAAAAATCCTTCAGGTCCCACAAAATCTTTGTGTGTGTGTTTTTTTTATTTATTTTTTTAGCATTTTTGTGTATTTGAACCCTTTCCAACAATGACTGCATGATTTTGAGATCCATCTTTTCACACTGACTCATATGCAACTATTACAGAAGGTTCAAATGCTCACTGATGCTCCAGAAGGAAAAACCATGCATTAAGAGCCGGGGGGTGAAAACGTTTGAACAGAATTAAGGTGTGTACATTTTTCTTATTTTGCTTAAATATCATATTCTCACCTGGCTGCAGCCTGTAAATAAAATCTAAAATAATTTTATTGATTTTATTAATGATAATTTATGGTATGCTTTTGTAACTCTCTTATGTATTGAAGCACGTTTCTGCCACTTAAGAAAAAAATGCTTTTGAAAATTTTTACAACATAAAAAGTCGAAACTGTGGCATAATAAGTAATGATATGGCATGGGTGCACTAGATTATTCCCTCCAGCAGAGGACAGCACAGTCCACTTTCTGTATAAACTAGGCTTTCAACGGACTAGTATATTTCCCCTTAAAATTCATGAATAAAGTTTTGTTGTGGGTTTGGTGACTAACCAACAAAAAAGATAAAAACATGTATTTGAAACCACACTATACCACACATTTGCCTGATAATCATATTTTAATATCAATTAATACAATTTATGATATGTAGGCTAAATAATCCTATGACGCCACTTTGTAGGCAAAAACCCGGAAGCGAGTTAGCATTTTAGCACTTCCGGTTCCATCGTCCCAGAGTCAATGGGTTTTTTGAATGGGAGTTTGGTTAAATCCCTAAAATAAGGTCCGTGGTTCACACACGCTGAAGATACTTTCACGTTTTATTCTACGACATAAAACACACCAGTTACACCCCACTCGTGATTTTTTAAACTTTTACGTTTCTTAAAAAAGACGGTTGCTAACCAGTTGCTAAATGGGATTACAGGCGCTGTCGGAGACATTAAACATCATCACGCCGAACAATTTATCAATTTACAGTATTTTCCAGTCGTAGTATAATTTGTAATACAATTAATTGTAGAATAACCAATTAATAGTTATCCGCATTTTCTATTGTTGTTCGACAATGTTTTTTTGTTGTTGTTGGGGGTTTTTTGCCCCGAAATGCAACACAAGTCTTCGGATGGAAGATGCTTGTTTTATCGCTTTCCTACTGATACAGAGACTCTGGGGTCGTATCATAAGGTAAACTCATATGATTAGTCCATGTAAACACCACATTTACCGGCTTAGTCGCGGTGAAAGTGAAACTTTAATGATGCATAGTGCTTAAAGCCACTTTAAAATTAAATGTTTACGGCCACATGAAGCTGATAGAAAGCATATGGACTTTCTAGAAGCAATGATAAAATAACATGTTGTGTACCCACCCTAACAAAGCTGAAATGTGGTACTTTATTCACTAAA